AAAAAAAAAAAAAAAATTCATTTTCTGTTTGTTGTTAGGAAAGGATTACATTAAAACTCAAATTGTACCAGGGCCAGCCACCCAAACTACTATGTGAAAAAAAATATAGAAGTATTAAAATGCAAATTGTATCCTAAAACATTACATGGATTGTTTGGGTGGTAAAAATAGATAATAGGAAAATTGTGCCTGTTTCATAAGTGGGCTTTGATAAATGACAGTGCTCTAGATTCAAAATAATGCTTGACAGGCAAATGAATAGTATAAAATCAGACATAATGGTTGAATTTTTGACAATAGGGAATACTACTGAATATTGTATTATGGTGCTAGTCTATTAGCATTACTAAACTTTCTAATATATGTCTCTTTTATTTAACTCAGGTGAAAAGGATTCAATGATTTTTGATTGTACTGAATGCTATGATCCAGTTACTAAACAGTGGACAACTGTAGCTTCGATGAATCATCCTCGCTGTGGCTTAGGAGTGTGTGTGTGTTATGGGGCTATCTATGCTTTGGGTAATTATGCTGTTCAGTTTAAAGATAGCTAATATTATTTATGTATTTATTTTTAATTTTCATTTTTGTGGATACATAATAGGTATATATATTTATGAGGCACATGAGATACAGGCACATAATGTGTAATAATCACATCACGTAAAATGGGATATCCATCTCCTCAAGTATTTATCCTTTGTGTTATAAACAATCCAGTTATACTCTTCTAGTTATTTTTAAATGTACAATTAAATTATTATTGACTATAGTCACCCTATTGCGCTATCAAATACTGGGTCTTATTCATTCTTCCTTTTTTTTTTTATTCAAATTCATTAACTATGCCCACCTCCTGCCTCCCCACCCCCACTACACTACCCTTCCCAGCCTCTGGTAACCATCCTTCTACTCTCTGTCTCCATGAGTTCAATTGTTTTGATTTTTAGATCCCACAAAGAAGTGAGAATATGAAATGTTTGTAGATAGCTAATATTATTTAAATTGTTGGGTTCTGATGACTTTAGAGATGTTCTTTTCCTCTTTTCAGCTCTTTACATTCTTTTTTTAAAAACCAACTGGCTGTAGTCCATATACTCTGGAGGCTGGGCAAGGTCTTGGGGAAGGTGTAGGTAGGGGTCAGGGGTCAGGGGGTCAGGGGTTGGAGGGGTTGGAGGAGGGTGCCCAGTTGGCTGGCTGACCAAACTGCTAGTCATACACATTCTTCTGCAGGTATCTCTGGAGCTACTGTATGCTGTAGATGTGCTTGCCAGCTCTTTAAATTCTTATTCTCAAAATTGTATTACTGGAGATAAAATATAGATGAGACATCCAGTGCAGTACTTTAGCTGAGTAGTTAAATCTCATTATTTTAATTAAGTGTATAACATTTTTAGCACTCTGCATAGTGGCCTAATTATGTTTAATATAAGAAAACAAATGCCAAAAAATTAAATATATCACAAGGAAGTTCTGTACTATATTTTTATTCTTGTAGATGTAGTGAATGATTATGAGCTATTCTACTTTGAATATCTGTGTAACAAATGTTACAATCAAGGTTGTTCCTAGGGAAAGTTATAAGTTAACATAGCTCTCAGCCTCCCCTATTTTCTCCTTGTCACTCCTTCAATTCACTGTAACTCAGTGTCTTCCCCTCATCCAAACCTATTGTGCAAAAAATATGAGTTACCTTAAGGTGAGTGCAATCTATTATATTTTATTACCTCCATAAGTATCTGCATTTTTCAGTTAATTGTGGGAAAAAATATTTTCAACTTTAAGAATTGGAGGGTGTTGGCCGGGTGCGGTGGCTCACAGCCTGTAGTCCCAGCACTTTGGGAGGCTGAGGCGGGCGTATCACAAAGTCAGGAGATCAAGACCATCCTGGCTAACACAGTGAAACCCTGTCTCTACTAAAAATACAAAAAGAATTAGCTGGGCGTGGTGGCGGGCGCCTGTAGTCCTAGCTACTCGGGAGGCTGAGGCAGGAGAATGGCTTGAACCC